TTTCTCATTGTACCGAGTACTATGGGCCAACAAATGGTACCATTCATTCATGATATTCCTCAACTTGATAGCATTTACATCGACTGCAGTAGCAAAGCTTCACAAGAATATTGGAGCAGTCATTGGAACAAAGTTAAGGGTCCATACACAGAAATGCCGCTCATCTGCGATGCATTGCAAATAGCTGTCAAGCAATGCAATAAAGATGACATATCCGTAAGCATTATCAGTGTAAACGAAGAAGATTTCAGCAAAGATCTCAATCAGCTTGAAGCCTCATTTATGTACTCCCAAATATTCAAGGAAATTCTCCTCGATATGGAACATGGTGAACAAGCCAAGAAGGATTTTATTCAATTTTGGCGAAACGAATATAGCAATAATGCAGTAAAAGCGAAGGATATCACTGAGTTCGAAAGTCAATATAGTGATCAATCAGCAATTTGGTGGTACACTCGCGAGTGTTTCCTTTACGAGATGCTCAATCGTTCTCTTCGAACGCTGGATGGTGAGACGATTATAAAAATGGGTTTTTTTCTTGCTGATCTGCATCGACAAATCGATAGTTTACACAAACAACAGATTAGTCTTTATCATGGGAAGATTTTTCCAGTTTTTCGGGGACAAGGATTATCGATAGTTGACTTTGACAAACTCGAAAAGAACAAAGGTGGACTTATTTCCTTCAACAATTTCTTATCCACCAGTACAGATGAAGCTGCTTCTCGTGCTTTTGCCGAAAGTGCCATAGGAAAATCCGGTATGGTGGGTATCCTATTTCACATGTGGATAGATCCCACGATCTTATCAAGTCCATTTGCCTCTATCCGGGAAGTGAGTAATTTCGTGGAAGAAAGTGAAATCCTTTTCTCTATGCACACCATTTTTCGAATTGGTGAATTTCGAAAACTTGACAGTGAAAGTTTACTATATCAAGTAGAACTTAAACTGACGTCGGATGAAGACCAGCAACTGCGTCAACTCACAGAAAGTATACTAGGAGAAGATTCACATCAGCCATGTTGGGGACGATTGGGTACATTGCTATCAAAAATAGGACAATATAACAAGGCCGAGAAATTCTATACCACAGTACTCGAACAAATATCCAACGACGATACTAGAGCTATAGTTTACAATAATCTTGCAGTGCTGAAAGACCATCAAGGATTATACGACGAAGCAGCATCATTTCACGAAAAATCCCTCGAGATCGATCGAAAAACTCTTCCAGCAGATCATCCTTCACTGGCTACTTCCTACAACAACATCGCTGGAGTGTATTACAACATGGGTGACTACTCGAAAGCACTTGAATATTACGAAAAATCACATAAAATCCTCGAAAAAGCTCTGCCTTCGAATCACCCTGATTTGGCTAGTTCATACAACAACATCGGTCAAGTGTATAACAACATGGGTGACTACTCGAAAGCACTTGAATTTCACGAAAAATCACATAAAATCTACGAAAAAGCTCTGTCTCTGAATCATCCCTTATTGGCTACTTCCTACAACAACATCGGTCAAGTGTATAACAACATGGGTAACTACTCGAAAGCACTTGAATTTTGCGAAAAAGCACTTAAAATAAGAGAAACAGCTCTGCCTCCGAATCATCCCGATTTGGCTACTTCCTCCAACAACATCGGTGGAGTGTATAAGAACATGGGTGACTACTCGAAAGCACTTGAATTTTACGAAAAAGGTCTCGAAATCACGAAAAAAGCGCTGCCTCCGAATCATCCCGATTTGGCTACTTTGTACAACAACATCGCTGGAGTGTATTACAACATGGGTGACTACTCGAAAGCACTTGAATTTCACGAAAAATCACATCAAATAAGAGAAAAAGCTCTGCCTCCGAATCATCCCTTATTGGCTACTTCCTACAACAACATCGGTGGAGTGTATAACAACATGGGTGACTACTCGAAAGCACTTGAATGTCACGAAAAAGCACTTAAAATAAAAGAAAAAGCTCTGCCTCCGAATCATCCCTCATTGGCTACTTCCTACACCAGCATCGGTATGGCATATTTCGGCAAAGGAGACTACTCAAAAGCACTCTCATTCTTAGAAAAGGCACTTTCTATCTTTAAAAAATCACTCCGACCTAATCATCCTAATATTAAAACAGTCACAAACTCAATTGACAATGTAAAAAAGAAAATGTAACTGTAATTTTTTCTTTTCGCTTGCTCAATAAACTTATTCAAATTGCTAATCATTTCGATTTTTCTCGGTTCATTTTGGCTTATTCGCGCACGCGCGACAAGGTAGAGATCCCTTGTCAATGCCATAGGTACCACAGGCGGACCACGCCGGACTGGTAGAGCAATGGCCGAAGGTATGCCGTATGAACGATAGGGACCAACGACACATAGAGGCCTTCCCTAGTACTACACTGCTTCGCTATGGCAAGAAAGTTCCTCTACCTATTGAGTCAGACAACACAGCTCTCTGACCCACACTGATAACATCTATAACTCAACTCGTCTAATCTCAAACGTACTCATACTTATACTCATAATGGCTGAGAGTGTTTATTTTCTCTCAAAATATGTTATCTCAACTCAACTCAACATGTAAAAAAATTTTTTTTGTCCTACCTCTCAATGTTATATCGTATCGTAGCTCATCTAAAAAAGAAAAGTATAATTTTAAATATAAAATGAATTAATTTACCTCAAATATAATACAATATATCATTATCATTGTAAATAATATCATAATAATAATTAACTCGGGTATATAAATACATTGTAATGATACAACTCGAGTGTATTGTTTCATGATGATGTATTCATGTTTTTATACACTCTCAGGTTAATTGATCGATGCTCAGGATTTTAATTGATTTTCTTATCAATCATTCAATACATAACACTACATAATTGATTTGATGATCAATTTTTAGGTAGTGAT